TACTACAGGTTGAAGGCCAGGTCGAGCAAGGACATGGAGCCACCAAGCATGGCTGTCCTGCGCCAGCTGCACCCCTCAGAGGGTGGTCTTACTTTGCAAGGCCACGTATATTTGGATTGCGGGTGCAGGAACCTCATCGTTTCCTCCAGTCTTGTGCGCCAGGGCGAGCGGGGCTGGTGGGTGGGTGTTTTCCGCCACAGCTACAACAGCACCAAGGCCTGGAACACCACCGCCATCTGCATTTTTGGGATGGAGGAGATGAAGGAGCAAGCCTGCGGGTCCACGCACTTCATCATGAATGGGAAGAGCTGTGTAAGTCTGGGCATCGTTTTGCTAAGCTTTCCTCCTGCACGCTGTTGTTGTCGTCACTGTTGTTGTGGCTGGTGTCGCTGTGCGTGATTTGTGGGGTGTCCCTGACCTGAAGGCACTTGAAGTGTATGGGGAACTTCAGAGCCGCACCAGACTTTGTGTGTCAGCCCTGGCTCCATCAGCCCTAATGATTTCTCCAACACTTTCTGTTTCTAAGAAGCTGATCCCATACCAAGTCCTGGAGTGTCCTTCCCACCTACATATTGGGAAAGGCATGTCTGAGGGAACACCTGAGGGCATCCTGGGTCAGGCGTGAGTCTCAGGCTCCTCACTCAGTGCACCCTTTTCTGCCAAGGATTAGTCGTACTTCATTGTGTTTTCCATACAGCCTAGATAAAGCTTCTCCTACCTTATTCTGTGCATTCACATCTCATGTCATTACAGCTACATCAGAAATGTAAAAAAGCCCATCGAGTTGACTCCTGTGCACTGAGCTGTGCGTGGTGTTATCCCATTGCTCACTAGTTATTTATGGTTGCTTGTTCAGTGGTAGGTGTTTCGCAAACCTCCTAGGGTTGGTGTTGCTTGAGAGGGCTCACAGCCACCCCTCCAAACCTGTATGTGCAACAGACAGCAGTAGGCAGTATGTCTTTGTTGTTGCAGTGGTTACATTTTCACAGGCAGTGGTATCCCATGGAGATCCCCTGGTCACCAACTTCTCTAACACTCTCTCTTCAGCTCCTTCCTCCTTTTGAGGGTGAGCTGTGCATGTGGAGGACTGGGTGGGCGAGGCTACTGGCTTTGCTATGGCCTCAGTAGTGAGTAAAGAAATGTACTAAAAATGAAATTCAATAAGGTAAAAATGTAATTCAGGAGTAGAAGGTGCTTTTGCAAGGCCCGTCTATGCTTTTAAGTTACTCTCAGAAGTCTTTTCAGAGCTGTGGCAAAAGAAACAGTGAAAAGTATCAGGGACAACTGTATAGGATCAAGCAAGCAGTCATAAAGCAAGCCCTGGCCTTTTACGGCTCCCTCACCCTCCAGGGACTTTGCAGCTTAACCCCTGAATCCTTGCTGTGTTACAATGGAGTTTTGTTGGAAACTCCTCAAAAGAGGCGCGGAAGATTTACTGTCACTCCTTGGCTTCCCAAATCTATCCATAGCAGAGCACAGTGCCGAGATTCTTCCAAATACAAACTACCGGAGGGCATGTGTGATTCAGTCTGCTCGTCTCCCTACTGACTTGCGAGACTATTGCGAGTGTTAAGAGGATGTAGTTATGAATGAGAACCCCATATGTGGGTGAAACAACTGTGCTGAAGTAAATAGTGAAACTCTCACAACAGAGCTGGAGCCAATCCTTTGATTTCCAGTGCTAGTTTATAGCTTACTGCGTGATTTCAGTGCTCTCACTAGGCAAACTTGCTGAATGAGTTTGAAGCCTTGTCCTCATCCCAAAATACCTATTTGCTAGTTGGATTTTTAATTTGTATCTCTCATTCCTAATTACTCAGGGGGGGTTCTTCACAAGGTGCTTTCTGAGCCTGCAAAGCAAAAGAAACGAAACTTCCCTGGGCAGCAGATCCTTTATAAACACTTTCCAAAACCCCACACTAGAAATCCAGAAGAGTCTCATGGATGTCATAGGGTAGGATAATGCACATAAGCTGAGGTGGGTGTTTCTGTCTGCCTGGTGTTCACCTCAGTCCCCCGTCCCCATTGCCTCCCAGTGCCTGAGTATGAAAATTCAGTCATCTGCTTGTTTAAGAATTGATCTGATTCAGATCAGACTCCTGTGACTCCAGAGTTACTTTCATGCCCCAAAACGCTCATCCCTCCTGGAAATGTAGATTTTATTTGGGTACAGTGCTGAAGAATCCCAACTTTAAAAATTATTTAAAGGATTGTTTGCTTATCATTATGCCCCTAACTATGGTGATGTTATTAATAATGATATTTTGGCACGACAATAAATACAGTTTGCTTCTGACAGAAAAGTGGTATTTTAATATTTTATAAGCTAGCAGGGCATCTGGGTGTTGTATAGTTAAATGACCTATAATATTACATGGCTAATTATGCTTCCTTTTAAGCTAATTATGTGTGCTTATAGTGTATAAACATAGAAACAAATGCATGTAGTTCAGCTTTAATATTTTTTTTTAATACTACGGAAGGTTAGGCTAGGCTATTGCAGAGTAAGTTTGGAGATGACAGGCCCATATGTTGCTGCTTCTGGGTTGTTTTAGCCCAGATCCTTCTACTGTCTCTCACCAAATCCTGAGAGTCCCTGCAAACATGGAACATACTCTTCTTGGACTCCAAAGTGTGCGAGCTTCAGAACTGGCAGGAAGATGGTGCACAGCTTGTAGGAGAGGTGTGTGCAACAGCTAAAAGTGACTGGCCAGAAAGAAGTGCCTTGTAGCATGGAGCCGTCACGAGTACGTTGGAGTACAACGTGTAGGAATGGCAGCAAGCGACAGCATTTAACATGTGCTCGTACTGAGCAAATGTATGTGTTGCAGCGGTGTGATTGCCTGGAGTCCAGGACCTGTATGGTGTTTGTGGCGGGTGGACCGTGCTGAACGTCAGCCTGACTTCTGCTTTGCAGATGTTGTTGTAGGGTGCTGCGGGTCTGAGTCTTCTTTGCTGGGTACGCTTGAATTCTGGAGCTGAGGCGTGGTGTGATGAGGTACACAGATCACGGACTGTCACTTTATGTGGGAATTGAAAATGCAATTGTTTTTCACTGCAGGAATACAATTTATAGTTAGATTATACGTTAGGGAGTAGTGGCAGTTTGTTTTCCTTCTTATCTTGTCATTCTTCAGATTTCTGTAATTATTCTTGGTTACCTTTAGGCGAGACATTCTCTTACCTGTCAGCACTCACAGAGCTGCTTGTATTTGCACTGCGTTGGCACTATGCTTCTCAATAGTACACTGTGAGATGGACTTAGCCCGAGGTATTTGTGGTCCTGAATTCCCTGCTATGCCACTGCCACGTGCTCTACTTTAAACTCACTCCTGTAAGGTACTGAGCTTTCTGGCTCTAACCCAGTAAAGCACTTAAGGGCATATTTAACATCAGGCATATAAGTAGTTCCATCATCTTCATGCCGGTGCATTTAAAGTTAAGAATGAACTTGAGTACTTCACTGGACTGGAACCAAATTGCTCCATATCCTGTAGGAACTCATTGTAGGTGTCTAATATTTTAGCCTCGCATTGCTACTTAGGCCAAAGTTGATATCTGCATTAAGTTTTAATGCTGGATTTGAGTCTGTCATTGAAAATAAGTAATTTGTAAGATCCTTGCTTACCAACTTTATCAAAAAGCATGTGACTGCTACAGATTCTTTGGGATTGCTCCTTAGGAGAACTAGCTGATTCTGGTTTTGTTTTGTGGAGTTATGTGCGCAAAGCGTTTTGTCCTAGTTGAATGAGTTTATTCTGGACATGTGTAACAGTGGATTCCCACAGACATGATCCCTAACTAGCAAGAGGCAAATGGTGTCTTAGATGAAACTTCTCTGAAAACATTTTGCAGTTTTATATTCAGTTTGTTTTCCTCTGATCCACACAGCTATTAGTTCTGAGTGTATCTACGCTGTTGAGGTATATGTGTTAATGGAGGCTCTAGCATAACCTGCATGTACTTAAGTGCATCTTCTTCACAACTTCCTTAGTTAATAAATGTGAATTTGCCAAATCTCATTCTCCATTTCTTTTCAGAAACCTGACTGAGCGCTAACAGGCATTTCTGGTGGATCGCAGTTGCGAAATCGAAGCTCCTTAGCCAGTACATAGGAGCAATGCAGGAATTAGTCACAAACTTGCTTCAGTAGCTAATGAACTTTAAGAAGGACTTTTCTTCTGCTGTTTTGTGGCTGAATGAGAGCTATAAGAATCTCAGATCTCGCAGAATCTTGTGTATCACAGCAAAACAGATGAGTAGGGAAGTGCTCAAATTGGAGAACATCAGCAGGAGAGAGTTGTAGGAAGTTACCTAACCCCAATGACAGATCTGGAAATTAGTGTTGCCATTTAAAAAAGTTGCATGAGAAGAAAAGGATTCTACACTTTTTCAGGGAGAAAATCCAAAACAGTGTTAGGCATTTACCTGTAAGACAGAGAGTAAGTTGCTGTAGTTTATATTTTATGATGTGCTAGGGCTAAGTAGCTGTTATGGTTACTAAATTATAACCTGTCTTGGTTGGATTTTCATCTGCTATTTAATCCAAGTAAAGATAGATAACAGTCTGTTCTTTGAATTTTAGCATTTTTCAGTGAGTGATAAATACGTGGGTTGGTAGATGCCTCTTAATTTATCAAGCATAGTTTGAAATTATAGGACAAATCTTAGCTGGTGTAAGCTCAACTGAAATGAGATTTTGAAGTCAATAGAGTCACATCAGTTTAATCATGGCCATTAATTTGCAGGAATGACATTTGAATTTGTGTGGTAACTCACTCCAAAATGATTAATGGCCTTTTATTTAAGGGAAGAATTACAGACTTCTAAATACCATTTGTTGTCAAAATTGATCCTGCAATTAATTTTCTAGTAGTAAAGTAATCTTCTGGATATTACCAGACTGCTGGTATTTCATCTGATGTTGGATAGATTTCTAGAGTTAACATTTCTGGAGTGAAGATTTCTGTCCTGTTACGTTGAGTTTTCAGTTCATCCCTGTTTGGTGTGGGAAGTGAGCCATAGGAGACTCTGAACTGTCACGCTGTCAGTAAGAAGAAGAGTTGCTTTTAGTCCTCTGGTGAACCAGGTGTTCTTAGCGGAAACTTTTCAGAGCCTGAGGCTCTTGAACAGAGGATTTGCTTCCTTGGGATCACAGGTTGTTCAGGCTGGAAGGAACCTCAGAGAAGGTCTCCAGTCCAGTTCCCTGCTCACAGCAGGGTCAGCTCTGAGATCAGACAAGGTTGCTCTGGGCTTTGTCCTGTCGGATCTTGAAACCTCCAACCTGCACAACCTCTTTGGACAAGCTGTTC